TTTTTTTTTTGACTTTACTAAGGACAAAGCTCTCAAATACCGGAGGTGGATGCTAGCTTGCCCCTAAGGCACGTGACCCACTAACTCAGTCTATGCCTGGCCTATGCCGCCTGTGTATTTCAGCCCATCCTGGAACCGGCTTGATCCCCAGCACAGTACTCCAGGCCAAAACAAATCACAAGAGTGAGAAGAGCCTTGAAATATCATATAATCCATGCTGTTTTCCAACATAGCAAAATGTATTTGAAACCTTGGTACCCTACAGATGTAACTGACGTTTCACAAAAATGTGACACTCTATCCTGGAAAACACATGAAACTTCTAGCATCTCAAAGAATTAGGTAATAAAATGACCACGAAACAACTGAACAACCAAAAACTGATGACACCCTCCCACTTTTATCATACTTTGACTTAACTGCTAACTTCTGGACATAGTGTGCAAGGATTGTATTAAATTAACCATTATTGTTATATGTCATTACATCCTTTATTAAATTTCAGGGTCCTCTTGGAACAAAGACCCTATTAAATCATACGTCTAGGGTCAAAGAGCTGGAATGTAAGACATGCTGGGTGTGGGGGGAAGCTCCCAGTTTCACTACAGTACCCAGGACACAAAGGGGATCAGGTTTCCAAGTCACTCTGGCAGTCTGCATCTCAGACCAGGGTCAGGCCACCAGGCACCGCTGATGTTGATGCTGACGGGGCAGGAGAGACGCTAGATGAAGACACTATGCTAACACACGCGATGAAGACGTGACAACTAACACTTAACTCAGGGAGGACAAAGCTAAAGGCACATGGAGAGTCCACACTTGCTTTTGCATCTTTGCAGCTAAGGAGCATGGTCTTTAACGAGGGCACTCACTTGCGAGTCTGTCCTCCAGTTTAAGAGCTTACGTTCATGGCGCATCTGAGTGGCTCAGTTGGTTAAGCGTCCAACTCTTGGTTTTGGCTTAGATCCATGATCTTATGGTTCGTGGGTTCGAGCCCCACGTCGATCTGTGTGCTGTCAGCTTGAGGCCAGCTTGGGATTCTCTCTCCCTCCCCACCCCACGCCCCCTCTGCTGCTCTCTCTCTCTTTCTGTCCCTTCACCCTCTACCCTCAAAATAAACAAACTTAAAAAAAAGAGCTATGTTTATGAAGACCAGTTTCAGTCCTACTGACTTGGTTAAGTTCAACCTCACAATCTAACACCACAAATAAAACCAACATTCTCAGAGGGCAGTGTTGGGGATTTCCACACTGTGAGTTCGGCACCACCAGATCCAATACCTCAAAGTGTCTGTATTAGACTCTCCAAAAATACAAACTGAAATCCCATTACAAATGATGTTATAATGGGATCTATAAATTATTGCAATTATTTATTTTTGTTTTTGAAGAAGTAGGGTTCTTTCATCACTAATTCCAATGATCCCTATGCAAGTCCTCAGAGGGCAGAGAAAGCCATGGCCACATATGTGCGTGAATTCATACATGAGTATGTAAACACACATACACCATATACACATCTATTTATTCCAGAGACAGATACATATGTGTTCACATTATTCATTAACTTGCCCAAACTAAATAGCAGAGGGACTTAAAGAGCCCTTTTCTAAAATAGCATTCCTCTGTCTATCCCCCTGCTCAGCAAACGTGCAATTGAGAAGCCCTTACGTGTTAGTTGCGGGATTAGGCACCAGGTAATTTGCTGGTTATTATTTTATATTCTCCCATCAGTAAACTCTGGATCTTTATACTTCAACCTAACAAAACAGACCCATTTCACAAAATTTCAGAAGGAGTTCACTTACATTTTTTTAAATGTTCATTTATTTTTGAGAGAGAGAAAGAGAGAGAGAGAGACAGAAAGTGAGTGGGAGAGGGGCAGAAAGAGAAAGGGAGACCCAGAATCCGAAGCAGGCTCCAGGCTCTGAGCTGTCAGCACAGAGCCCTGACTCAGGGCTTGAACTCACGGACCGTGAGATCGTGACCTGAGCCAAAGTCGGATGTCCAACCAACTGAACCACCCAGGTGCTCCGGGAAGGAGTTCATAAAAAAAAATTCAATTTTATTAGTGAAAATATTTTGAGATGTTTTAATTCACTTGGAAGATACTTTAAGTGCTGCACCATAACTAAATTTGAGGTTCAGGATCCTAGAGATTGTGGCCACAGAAATGGTACTTAACTTAGAAAATACGTCATGTTTATTTATGCTGAAAAACAACTTTACATCATAGGGAATGAGCTGACCTCACTGATTCTAATGGATGTATTTCTGTTTAACTTGAGAAGATATTTCCTCCACGGTCCGTGATGACGTTAACTGGTACCAGGGTTACCTCTCTGCACACAAAAACTACGTAAAACTGGACAAAATATTTGGGCCAATTGTTCTGGACTTTGCAACAGGCAGCACAGTAGTGTCCCTCAAGAGAAGGGAAATTTGTAATTTGAGTGACACCGCGGCCCCATCAATCTGCCTGGAGCACCTTGCTGACCGTGGTGCAGAGGTGGGTCCCAGGCAGATAATGCAGTCCCCCCAAATGGACGGTGCAGAGATCAGAGCTGGGCCTGCAGAAGGAGCCAGAATCCATGAGAATATGTGGGACCAGAAAAGAAAAAAGCCACATTAAGCTGGGGGCTGCAGGTGCCTGCCTGAGGATTTCCTGAGGTCCCTCCTGATCCGTGGGGTGAATGGCTGATATGCTACATGATGCTTCGTGTGGCCCAGCACGAGGCAGCAGCTTTGGGCTAAGAGCTGACAGGCTAGAGGACAGAGGCCACACCGTGCTGGGAGACACCGGAGTTTGGGCCCGCCCGTGGTAGAGAGACCTCAGTGAGCATTCTGGGCCCTCAGGGGAGAGCCCGAAGTCCACGTGTGCTGAGTGAGAACCACACTCTAGAGCATAGGCTTTGCCCTTGGGCTAAGGACAGACTGAAAGAGAGGCGCCCTAGGGAAGAACCAAAGAAAGCCTCAAAGGGGCAAGGGATCACCTATTCACATAAATTTATATAACATAAAGTGATCATGTATTATGTTATAAATATACTCAAGGCTATAAAGGAAAAAGTAGACAGAATGAATGAAAAAAAAAATGGGAAATTCCAGTAGAGAGATATAGACTGCAAAGAACTAGATGGTATTTCTGGCAACTGAAACTTAAAATAACCCAAACGTAGAGCTTGCTGAATTGTCTAGACAAGTGACGAGGGAGGGCAGAAGCTACAGATGATGACCAACTTTTTATCAGAAACAACAGAGTCCAGTTGAAAGTGGAATTATACCCTTCAAATTTTTAAAGGGTAAAAATACAGAAAAAACTGTTGAGAATTCTATATTCAGAAAAACTATTCTTCAAAGTGGTGGGTGAAATAATGACATTTTCAGAGAGAGAAAAGCTGACATCCTCTGTGGCTAGCCGATGCTAGCTATAAGGAACGCTAAATTGGGTCTTTCAGGCCAAAGCAAATGATACGATTTGAAGCTGATCCATAAGAATGCATAAATACTACATGGTGGATTGGTGGGTGAATGTGAAAGACGGTCCAATTTTATTTAAAAGTAACTCCCTGTTGGGGCACCTGGGTGGCGCAGTCCGTTGAGCGGTTGAGCGTCCGGCTCTTGATTTCGGCTCAGGTCACGACCTCCGGAACCGTGAGACCTGTCCCCGCGTCGGGCTCCGAGCTAACAGTGCAGAGCCTGCTTGGGAGTCTCTCTCTGCCCCACCCCTGCTCACACTCTCTCCTTCTCCCTCAAAATAAATAAATAAACGTTTAAAAAATAATAATAAATTAAAGTATCCAAAGCAGGCTCTGGGCTGTCAGCACAGAGCCTCAACGTGGGGCTCGATCTCACGGTTTCCGAGATCATGACCTGAGCCGAAATCAAGAGCCGGTCGCTCGGCCCTTGAACGGACTGGGCCACACGGGCATCCCGTAACTCCCTATTTTAAAACAAACATTAGAATGTTGTGTCCGGTAGCTTGTAACATGCACAGAATAAAATACGTGACAACAGTACAGTGTGAAGGAGGGCCACATGGACTGACTTGTAAGGATCTTGCATTTTACATAGAGTGGCACAATGTTAATTCTACATAGACTGTAAATTAAAGATGCAGCTATAATCGTTAGAACGACCACTAAAAACTAGTGTAAGAAAGTATGGCTAAGATGTAAATTGAGGAAAAAATAGAATTTTTAAAAGCAAGTTTACTCCGAAAGGAAAGAGGGAACTAAAAAAGAAGCGTGAGTGTGATGCCTGGGTGGCTCGGTCGGTTAAGCATCTGACTCCGGCTCAGGTCATGATCTCACGGTTCCTGGGTTTGAGCCCCACATCGAGCTCTGTGCTGACAGCTTGGAGCCTGGAGCCTGCTTGGGATTCTGTGTCTCCCTCTCTCTCTGCCCCTCCCCTGCTCGTTCTCTCTCTCTCTCGCTCAAAAATAAATAAAACATTAAAAAAATTTAAAAAAGAAGCGTGGCCAACAGGAGACAAAATTTAAAACCAACCAATACAATTCCTCATGTTAACTTAATAAACAAGAGAAACTACATAACTACATCAACAGACGCAGAAGACGTTTCCCAAAAGTCAACACACTTTTGTGATAAAACCTCTCAACGATCTAGGCCCAAAAAGGAACTTCGTCTGTTTGATAAAGGGTAACTATGTAAAACCAACAGCTAACATCATATTCGTTTTCTATTCGTCACTGAAGTTTCTAATCGTAATTGCAATGTAGTTAACACACGGTGTTAGTTTCAGGTATACAATACAGTGATTCAACAGCTCTATACATTACTCAGCGCTCCTCCCAGTGAGTGTGCCCCTAACTCTCCTCACCTGTTTCACCCCCTACCCCCAGCTCCCCTCCGGTTCCCTGTTCTCTAGAGTTAAGCGTCAGCTTCTCTGTCTCTCTCTTTGGTTTTGTTTCTTAAATTCCGCGTGTGATTGAAATTACACGGTGTTTGTTTTTCTCTAACTTATTACACTTAGAATTATATTCTCTAGCTCCATCCATATCACTGCAAATGCTTTCCTTGGCAATTACAAAGCTCCAGAATAGGCCAAGTGTACCTAAGGTTCTGGGAATCAGAGCAACGGTTGCTCACCGGGGTGGGGAAGGGACTGAATAAGAGAGGGCATGAGGGAACTTTTCGGCTTTACAGAAGTAAGCCACATCCCGATCAGTGTGCTGGTAACACACTGTGTTACAAACGTGGGTAAACACATTGGTGATTCACTGCATGTAAATATCTCCTCAATGACGAAAGGTGTACTGCATTTAACTTCTGGGACTTTCCAAGTGGCGCTAGGGTACCCTGGATGCCACCGCCCACGGTCACAGAGCAAAAATAATGTGGAAACCAGAAGCGTGCTGTAGGAAATCCCACCTTCAAAAAACCAATTAGTGTTATGCTCCTTTCCCTTAACCAACGGAAGAATAACACGCAAAATTCTTAGGGATGTCACACGTTCTGCCCATGAAAGAGGACAAGGTTAGGAATACGTGCTGCTGGTGACTGACTTATCGCTCTTCTTTAAGGCTGAGATTACCCAGCTGAGGGGACGAGAACCCAGTTCTGGCACATGGATTGTAATTGATCTTAGGGGGAGCTCTCCTTGAGTTTAGAAGAAAAGAGATTATCACGTTAGATTTCAATTGGAAACTTTCCCGGCGCATTATGAAATGGTGGAGGTTTCTGGAGGATCGTATTTTTGTCTGTTTTCCTCTCGATTTCCGTATCAACTACAGTAAGAGAAATCTCAAAAATAGTGGCTTTCATTTAATGTATGGGTCCCTTCCCTTGTGGCTCGGTACAGAAAGTTCCTAGATCGCCATCGGTCTGCCCGTCCAGCACAAGCACACCTCTCTGCCACATGTGGGGTTTATGTTAGGAAGCCACGCCAGTGATGGCCCCGGGCTCAGCGGAGGAGATAGCAGCTTCTAGGAGAAACTTCTCTAGCGATCCCGTATTTGGGAAATATAATAATCAGAAGCCCTAGATAGGCTGCTTCTCCATAGTAAGTTCCGCTTACATCTAAGGAAGATAGAGCAGGGCGGTGCTGTTTGCTTAACAGCGTTTGAAAAAAACGCAGAGTATTAGTTAGCCAACTTACACCAACCAAAGGTTACTGCCGAGCTCCCACGTGATAAATCAGAAAGAAAGAGCTGAACTAACGGGCCAAGTCCATTCTCCAGTGAAAACTGATACCCACACCAGTATCTACCATCACTTTCTTTGCCAGTAAAACATGTGTTTCCTGTTATAGGAGACCAGCTTTCACATACAGGATTTGACATTTGGTAGGTACCCAATAAATGCAGAATCCATCAATGTCCGTTACACTGAATAAAACGGTTTTATGAGTCACATTGCACTGAGCACTTGCCAATAATCACTTGCCTTTTTGAAATCCAGCATGCAGAGTTTGGCTTTCTCTCCAAACTGCCACTTGCACTGAGTGTTTGCATCGTACAGCTCTCCCGGCAACTTCTCAGGATACTTGTACTCCTTCACAGGCTTCGGCTGATCAGCAAGGCACAGAGCTTGGGCAGTGCTGAAACGCAGAGGAGAGATGGTGCTGCTCGTGATTCCGGAAGACTTACCAGAGATACGCACTGAGTTACGCCTTGATATTCTCATGCAATCTGACAACACAGCCCGAACAGAGAGGAGGGGGCGTTTTTCTCCGGGGGTCTGACATCAATCTCGATTATCTTTGGATGCGGGGGCCACATGTCCTCAAATTGCTCATAATGCATCTCATCTTTTCCAGGAGGGCAGTTTGTTCTTCATCAGATTTCTCCAGCTTATCACGGGGCAGAGGGAAACGGAATCGCACAACCAGATGGACAACGTGAGAAGCTCCGACGGCAGACGCCTTTTATGTATGCTTCTTGCCATGAACGGTCAACAGATGGCAATGGGCAATGGGCAATGGGCACTGGGCAAGGCAAACACAATCAACCTCAAAGACTAGAATTTTCTTTCTTTTCCTCCCTCCATTCTTCCTTCCTTTCCTTCCCCGCCTTCCTCTCGTCAGTCCCTCCCTCTTCCCTCCCTTCTTTCCTTCCCCGGGGCCAGGGACCACCTGCACCACAGCTCACAGCCTCCGGAGGTTTGCCATGGAACACAGCAGCAATTTCTACCAGTAATGCTCTACACTCACGCTAATTTCTGACTCGATTCCCAAGTCAAGGAGGAAATTAACTCTGCCTAAGTTCACTAGCAGATGGCTAAAGACCAACTAATGATTTTTTCCTACACAAACACGGTATTCCCTTCCCTACGTGCATAGTTAAAATTTTTGCGTTTGGAGGAAGGGAAAACAGTGTTTGCACGTAGCAACTAAACTTTACTTACAAACTTCAACAAGAAAAAAAATCCCCCACCCCTGCATATTCTCAACATACTGACCAAGAGCAGACCCACCCATGCATCCCTACACTTTCCTTTGTGTGGTCACCCACCTTGACCCAGATCATTTTGGCCTCAGTCTCCATGGCCCAGTCCCAGATCCCACTGCCTTGGAGTCCATGCATGCATACCTTCAATTAATATCCACACACAAAACACAAGGGGTGGTACCAGTTAACCGTGGTAAGACATTAATCCCACATACAAGGAGGTCAGAAGCCTTCTGAGAGCAAACCGAGAAAGAGAGATTAAATCAGATGATAGGAAAGTGTTCAGAGTAGTGGCCGGCTCATTGTGCATGTTCAATAAATGACTTGTCTACCACTATTAAGGCAATCATAGTGCAAAAGGATATTTTGAAGTGAAGAAAAACGAATAAAAGCATAATTAACACTCCAAGACAGGAGGGACTTAGCAATTCTGGAACTCCATAGAACCTTTTTCTGATGGATCGCAAATGATTTCTATACACTAGTTCAGTGTTCCCCAGTATCTCCCAGAGGCTACATCAGGGAGGCAATCTTATCCCTACCCTACGGACAGGAAATTAGGACATGTCGGCCAAACGGACCGGCCCAAGCAAGAGACTGAAAATTCAAAAAGGTTCACAGGTTCAGGAATTTTTATAGTTTGTGTAAATGTATGAGCACATGGCCTGAGGACAAGGTTCCCGCCTGGCCAAGAAAAATGAAGCTCACGGACTGGGAGCCTGGAAGAAGGTTCGGGAACACACATACCACTACTGGGATGTAAAAGTCGGTTCCAATTAGCTTCACCTTTGAAGAGCTGCAACTCCCCATGCTGATCGTACCCTGGTCCTTCTGGTTAGGCTCACGCTGGAGCACGTCTGATTTCTACCCTCGGCCCCAGCAGGTCTCACAGCTAAGCGCATGGCCAATGGGGCAGGTGTGAGAAAACCCCACGGTGTGGACGTAAGAAGGAAAAGCGCTGTCACTGTAGGAACAATCCCCCATAGCATCCACACGAACAAAATGTGTTTGACTCATTTGAATGTGCTGGACAAAAGTCAGGTGACCTACATGTGATAAGCAAAACGATAAGGCTTGTAGATCACATGGAAGAATATATTCAGGACTTTGGGGTAAGCAGAGTTTTTTTTTTTTTTTTTTTTTTTTCCCAACAATACACAAAAAAGCGTTAACCCTAAAGGAAAAATAGGGATTAATCTGGTCTCCGTGACACAAAGAAAAACTTCTTTTCACCAAAAGACACCATTAACAGTGTAAATACTGAGTCACAGAGTGAAAGATGATATTTGCAGTACATGTTCTCCATAATGGACAAAGTGTTCCTACTCAGAATATATAAAGCACTCCCATCAAGAGATACAAGATGAAACACTAAAGCCTAATTTTTACAAATTCACAAGAGATTTGAAGAGGCACTTCATTAAAGATTACTCGAGTGTCCGTTAAACATGAAAAAGGCACTCCAGGATCTCTTTAATTAGCACGTTGGAATGCCGCTACCCGCATCGACGGAGCTAAAATGGAAAAGACCGACCAGACCAAGCGACGGCCAGGATTTAGAGCCATGTGAACGCTCGTAATGGCTCTAGACGTGTGACTTGGTGCAACCACTTAGGGAAGCTGTCTGGCAGTGTCTATGGACACTCCAGACTGTGTATTTATGACCCTGAAGTTCCAGTCCTACGTAAAATCAGGGATGTATAGGCAAACACACAGACTATGCAGAGTAGCATTTCTTCTAATAGCCCCAAATCCGAATCTCAAATGTCTATCACCAACAGAATGGATTCGTAAGCTGTGGCATACTCATGCAATTAAAAATAAGTAAACAATGCTATATTTTTATGGTAGCAACAAGGATGAGCCTCATAATCATGATATTTAGCCAATCGCAACAGACGCTGAGTAGCACATAGCTCATGATTCCATTCATAGGGAGTTCAGAAATGGGCAAAACCAGTCTATGGTGTCCTGCATCGGGAGAATGACCATCTCTGGGGAAGGGCTATCTCTGGGGTAGTCACTGTGTCTTGTGCCTTTTTATAAAGGTTAGTTACCACATCCATCACCCCACGTATTTAGAGTTGTGAGCATGTGTCGTGAGGACTTTTAAGGTCTACTCTCCTAGCAGCTGTGAAACGTAGAGTACATCAATCTCTAGTCATCATGCCGCGCACAAGAGCCCCCAGAGCCCATGCATCTTACTGCAAAGTTGTACCTGTGATCACCTTCACCAATGTCCCCAAACCCCCACCGTGGCGGTCACCTCTCCACTCTCTGTTGCTATGAGTTTGGTTTTTTTGATTCCACAGATGAATGAGATCATACAGTATTCGTCTTTCTCTGACTTCCCTCACTTAGCATAATGCCCTCAAGGTCCAACCACGTTGTCAAAAATGGCAGGATTTCCATCTTTCTCATGGCTGAATAACATTCCATCATACATATATCTCATCTTTAGCTATTCATCTGTAGACAGATGACAGACAGGTTGTTTCCTGTCTTGGCTATTATATTGAGCTCTGTACATTGATCTGAGAAGAAGGTACAGTGCCACGTTCACTGTGTGAAATTTCACTGAGCGGAACCCTCATAATTTTGTGCTTTTCTATATATCTGTTTAACCACGACAAAAATAATGTTAGTAAAAAAACAAGGCAAGGTCACAGATACCACAGTGGTATTTCAAAGTCCTTTTCCCACTCTGATTGATGAGCCATAAAAGGTGAACGAGCTTGAGAGATCTTACAGTCGTCTCTCTTCCTTGTCCAAGTCGGGAACAGGGGCCCTTGGAACAGATTATATTACTTGCCAAGGTCGAGACCTTCCCAGACACGACTGGTAAAGCCACGATCAGCATTTGAGCTCTGATCCCCTCTGCTGCTCTTTCTGTCACAGGGCAGTGCCTGCTCTCCCGTCTTCCTGCAGAAACTAAGGACAGCTGTGGCTTGGTTTTTCTTAAGACAAACGTTATACAGCAGAGCAAGATGTGAACTGAAGTGCATTCTTTCCATTACACCCAAAAGTATGCTTAATGGGCTCTCAGGTCAAATCAAACCTTCTCATTGACAGAGGGGGTATGGGGTATGGAAGGGGATCCATGTATCCTTTAAACTCCTGGTTCCCAGTGACGGCCCCCTTTCCCATGGACTAACTTCGATTCATAGGGTCAGAGGGGAGGCACATCACAGGTCTGCAGTAAAGGATTCACATTTTTAAAAAGCACATTGAAGATGAGTCCCCGTTGTCATTAAACTAAATTAATGAGCTAAAATTTCCCTAATCCTAGGTCTCCCAGATGCAGACATGAGTACATGGGATGAGGTCTGTGTCCGTTCACAGGAAATGACGCATGACTTCACTGACTAGGTCGATGAATTTACTCCAAACACATATCTGTCCTTCTTGACTACCAACTGTGGAGAAATGCTGTGCTGACAACTTCAGACCAACCGAGGTCCTTTATTATATATTTTTTCCACATACCAAATGCTAGACTGCTAATAAAGGCAAGTGGATTCATCTTTATAAGTTAGCCACTTGTCCTTAGTCATTGCTGGGATCGGATCCAAACAGCTGCCCAATTGGCGGAGAACAGGATCGTGATTACGTGGAAATCAGGAAGTCAGCAGACATGTCAAAGAAGTCAGTCTCCGATTCCTTAAACCAATAAGACACCACTGTTAACACAGTGTAGACGTGTCTGATTTACGACTGGTCACCCCAAGTAAAAGAAAGCTTGGGTGAATCTGACAATGGGAGGCTCTCTTGGAAAATGTAACTTTTCAAGAAAACAAATGGGTGACATGTGTAATCTTGCATATCTGTTTATAATCACGTGGCCCAGAGAAATTAGCAAAGTTCTTGCAAATAAAGGTTTATTACGGAATTGCCCCACAAGGGTTTTACTGATGGACACAAAAACAAATGAGCACACTTGAGCAGACATCGAACCGTCCTGGGATCCCAGAGCAAACATGCCTTTGAACCAGCCTCTTGGCAACCCCTCCGAGGGTCACAGTCTGATTCGAAGATCACAGCCCATATCTAATGTCATCAAAACAACTGTTCCCTAAGCATATAACAATTTCCCTTCCACGAGATCTCCTATATTTCTTGGCAGCTTAAAAACTTTATCTGGACTCTTTTACGATGCTGATTCTCACTGCACACCCAAACTTCGCATCCCTGGCTTTCCAATATTTGTCCGAGAATGTTTCAAAAAAATCAAAAATGTTTATCTTCATCATCACCGTTAAAATGAAAAAGCTATAACATTTTGAAAAATAATCTAGAAAATTACAGGGAAGATTTGTGATACAGAAGACTACAAATTTCCCTTGTTAATACCAATAAGAGCATCGTGAGCTTAAGTTCATGCCTTTTTTTATGACGGAAAGCAGAATTCTTCACACACACACACACACACACACACACACACACACACACACTCACACGCACCTCAAGCAAATCTGAACCGGTGTCAGAAAGAGCCACAAACCATGCTAACAATCCCCACCTCGACCCCATGAGGACCCCACACAGGGAACAGCAAATGTCAGAACGACCCCCATGGGAGAATAATGACCACACTGTTTTTGGTAATAGAAATAAAAGAAAAATGATCAAGCGTATCTTCCTAGAATGCAGATTTATATTACCAGGAGACGGATATTCTCCACAAAATTCTCACTCTTTGTGGGGGCCATAAGATACGGAAGGCGGCCATCATTCTGGTAGGCATTAAGTACGTTGACTGATAGGGGGAAGGACCCCAAGCTGAAGGCTGTTAGTCAGGATGCTGGCTCAGAAGAGTCGTGCAAGGTCATCTGGAGAATTGAACGAACAGACAGCAAGAAAGGGAAACCAGCCGTGGGCTCACAGCTCCACGTGCGTGTGGGGGGCAGTCTGAGATAAGGGGCAAACTGGGGGTACCAACAGAAAGAAATACCCATGTGACCCCACCCTATGGTGTGCTTATATAAACTAGATGATGTCACTTATGTAACGGAAAAATAAAAAGGAAAGAAAAGGGGCTTGACCAAAAAAATAACAAGAAAAAGAGAGAAAGAGGAAAAAAAAAACAACAAAGAAAACCTAGAGCCCAAGATAAGGAGTTCATCGAAGCTAGCCAGAGCAGCCCGGGGGAAACCTGAATGGGGTCTATCGGGCACAACAGGAACCCCGGACTTTCGCCCTTAATCCCTGGCTCGGAAAAACTAGTTCTCAGTTTTGACTGTAGGAACGGGCATCAGTTACAAACTCTGGCCGCTAACTTGGTGGTTCTTGGGTGTCACCATTCTGTTTTTCTTCCACAAACTCTGGTCGAGCCGATGTGGGTCCTGCACCCTGCAGCTATGTGTCCCCTGTTCACCTGCTGGCATCATGGTGTGGCAGAAACGGGAAAGGTAAGAGCATGTGGTCTTGGTCCCTGAGACAGGCCCAGGATGGACCCCCTCTAGCGGGGGTTCCAGAGGACGGTAGAAAGGGGGAGGTCATCAGGTAACGTGGGGAAGCGCGTGCACAGGTAACCACTTCTTATCCACATCTTCATCATGTGTGTCTATTAACATTTATAAGCACTCACTGTATGCCATATAATTAGTCATGAGTATGTAATATATTTTACATAGCATATACATATACATATGTGTGTGTGTGTGTACATATATATACACACAGTGTCATCTTTTTTAAAGAATTCTGCACTGGCAAAAGCTTTGCTTTCCTTGAAATATCAGCATTTGCCCTATTTTCTGTTAATAGGAAATAGATTTGATCTCCTTTTTTGCTTTAGTTTCTAGAAAGACCAAATTTGCCCAATCTCAAGCTTCAATAGCGCAGCCTAAGCATGCATTTTAAGACTGACATATTTGTGTGTTTTCGCGTTGCCTCTTCATTTTTTATTTCCATCTGCTTTTCCTCTTCAGCCGACTGTCAATTCTAATTATTTTTTTGTTTGTTTTCTTGTCATGACCTGCTCCAAAGTCTTACGGGAAGGTGGTTTTGGCGGCTACCTTCTGCCAAGAATATACCTTCCATGCTGAATCTCAGAAATGTGAACGCATCTAATTGAGAACTAAACACGGCAGCCCACCTCCTGCCAGCACAGATGCATTTTGGGAATCAAGAAGCACACGCTTCGTATCTCCTTGACGAGGATCAGTGGGTTGTGGAGGGCCGGTGTGTTTGTCAGAGAGCGGGCGCGAGCCTTCCATGTGTCTGGAAAAACAGAATATGTTTCTGTGTAATGAACACGCGTGCCCTCTCTGCTGAGCCGAAGCAATTCTTCCCAGAACCAGGGAAATAACGTTCTTGAAATGACAAAGGTCGGGGCGCCTGGGCGGCTCAGTCGGTTGAGCATCCGACTTCGGCTCAGGTCACGATCTCACAGCCTGTGAGTTCGAGCCCCACATCAGGCTCTGTGCTGACAGCTCGGAGTCTGGAGGCTGCTTCAGATTCTGTGTCCCCCTCTCTCGCTGCCCCTTCTCTGCTCCCACGCTCTCTCTCCCTCTCAAAAATAAATAAACATTAAAAACTTAAAAAGAAATGATGGTGGAAAGTGGGGTAACTTTTAGGAGGGACAAAAACATCTGACTACAGTCTGTTCCAGGGGCCACTGCCGTGTCCCAGGAGAGTGTGTTCACAAGGGAAGACAAGGGACGCTGGGGGTTCAGATGGACACGGCACCTCCACTCTCCGGCCCGCGTGCCAGCAGCCTGTGCTGGTGGTCAGAGATGAGTTGTCTTCACTGAGTTAAGAGCTACTTTCTTTTTTTTTACGTTTATTTATTTTTGAGAGAGAAAGAGAGTGCAAAGGGAGGGGCAGAGGGAGAGGGAGAGGGAGAGGGAGAGGAGAGAGAGAGAGAGAGAGAGAGAGTCCCAAGCAGGCTCCGTGTTGTCAGTGCAGAGCCCAACCTAGGGCTTGAACTCATGAACCGTGGGATCATGACCCGAGCTGAGATCAAGAGTTGGACGCTTAACCCACGGAGACACCCAGGCGCCCCAGAAGCTACTTTCCAAACAAAGGCTCTCCCTCATCTTTTTAGTATTTGAACCAACTAATTTTGTTGAGATAAAAACAAAAGGAGAAGCCATGATTTTAATAGAATTGTTTCTCCTTGGCTATTTGCTTCCAGGCTTCTTGCGATCAGTAGACTTAGGCCAGGGCCAGGGGCCACAATGCCTAGACTCCATTCCCGACTCTGTTTCCCCACATTACTTCCCCTGTGGCAGGAGCTGGGGCCACTGCTGAGCTCAGCTGGCCCTCTCTTTCACCGTCATGCCCTCTTCCTTCAGAGCACGTGGGGAGACGACATTCCTTACCCACCCCGTGCGATCGGGGCCATCAGCTGCACTCTCGCTGCCAGGAATGCGGCCCTGTCCTGCTCCGGTCACCACCAGCTGCGGTGACAACTAGGCCCCACAAGAAGGGGAGACCACAGGGCGGGAGGACCCATTCTCTGCATGACCACACACGGCACACTTGCTGATCTGCGCACGACCTTCTGAGTCAGAAGCACGCTCAGGGTTAACAGGTAAAACCAAACTCCAAACTCAAAGTCTTGAGATCTGGGGGGAGATCCAGCCTTATTAGCCAACTAAAGCTGCTTCTTAAAGTCCCTTCTTTCTCTAAAACGCTTAAGATCTACTATCTCTCTTTCAGGGGGTCAAACCCTGCTTCCCCAACGTTCTAGACCCTAGATGAATTAGCACTATAGTAAAACTTTCCAAAAATAATTATTAAAATTACAGGAATTTAGAGCCAAGCTAAGGTATATATACTCAAGTTTCCCCTCCTAATAAGAAATGTAGTTTGTGGAAAAAGAAACACACACACACACACACACACACACACACACACACACACACACGCGCGCACGCAAGTTACGTGTACTTTATAATCGTGCGCACAGGTCTTTCTGTTCACGAATACAAAATGGTTAGTTACAGAAGTGAGAAGTTAAAAAAACCAAACGTTGGTGACAGATACTTTGATTTGGTAAGCACCCTGGGTTTCCTTTGAGCCTCAAGGTCAAATGACGTCGGGTTAAGCCTGCCAGACTCGGTGCTCTAAGGAAGTGTCTGGCAAACTTCTTGGCCAAGTGGCATCTTCAAATGGGAACCGTCTATAGGAGTCACAGCCACCCCTGGGCTGCTTGGACAGAATGAGGCTGACCGGGCAGGGCTCGCCAAAGGCCACACAGAGACACACGACCAGCTCTCGGAGTTCCTACCTTAAAAATCTGTGCAGATACTGGCGGCTGCAGGGTGACCAGGAGAAGACCCCGTTGCGTCCTGCCAGCGTAGGGGACATGATGTTCCCCTCCGACTTTTTGCACATGTTGCCTTCTCCGTCGTGGACCATGCCAAAGCTACGAGAGAGAGAAATGGTTCCTTCAAAACACAGAACAGTGCTGATGATCCACTATATTCTACAAAAACACATGTCAACACCGTGGACGCCTCCACTTCTGCATGCCGGTCGGGCTGAAATGAACTGTCTGTGCAGCCAAGCTGTGGAGACTACCCACATATTCACAGACCTTTCCTGAAAGACTGCCATTCGGTGAGTTGTTCTGAAAGTGCACACCAAGCACCAAAACGGATGTGCCTGCTAAAGGCAGAGGTCTTAATTACGAGGAAGCATTTCAAGGAGGGTATGGAGGGCAGGTCACTCGATCTTGATAAAGCTGATAACCGTCCTGGACTGCTTTCTTCTCTCCGCACTCTTTTCTGCTCACCAGGGATTTTGAGAACTCCCAGATGTTTGCGGGAAATACAAACGCAGGCTGCCCGGGTGAGTTTTGTGCTTCCCACGGTTAGAGAACTGACCGCCTGATGCAGCTGCCCGTGGTGCTGACATTTCGTCCTTGCTCCCATCCGGGGCTGCTCCGCCTCAGGCCACTGCTGGGGGCTGTCACGGCTGGACGGCGTTCGACCACACTCCCTACATCCCTTTGGAGGAAGGAGGGCCTTGGAACCCCAGTGGGTGGCTCTGGCTGCCTTTACCTGTGGGAATTGTTTGAATGTACCTGTTCCTCCTGACTAAAAACCAGATCACTCTGGGGCTCCAGTCCTAACTTAATACAGGGGGACTTGTCAAGCTACCTTGGCTCTTGGAACGCTTAATAGGCTCCTTTATGGATGCGCTAATTGCACAATGCCAACTGGCATCCCATGACTGTCACTTGTGCAAACGCTAGCCCTGTGCCTCTAAGCATCCCATTAACCGAAGCAACCTCTCTCCACCAGGTCAGCTTCTTCTTCTTAACCTCCGAGAGCTTTGGCTCTTTGGAAGAGTCTCACATTGCCGTCTTCACCTACTGCAGGACAGCACGACTCATCGTGTTGGGAAGAAAGCCTGGGGGACTTGGAGCTCCATATGACCCCGAAGGCTTCCCATTAGGGCAAACATATTCTTAGAGAATCAAGCCACTGCTGGCTATTAATGTCCGGGACCTGCCAAATCATTGTACGGATTCTTAGATAATGGGGTTCCGCATGAATGGGGTACAGGGCAAAGGGGAAAAGAAGGGGAAAAAGCAAAGGAGGGTGAGATGGATGCTGAATCTGGGGACATTCTGCCACCAAGGATCCCACGATGAGAGGAGGCAGGGCAGCAGGGACAGAAGACCCAGAACCGTGGGGAAGCGGGCTCCCACAGTGGGCCGGGGAATCTGCCCTTGTTGCTGAGGCCGAAGACCCATCTTCCCCCTTAACTGGTTTGCTGATAGAGATTTAATATTAACAGTAAAAAGAGCAACTAATATTTGTAAGCACTCACTATTTTTCAAACAGGGTATTAAATGCGTTCTCTGACATTCCTGACCTCAGAGCCCAGGCGGGACCCATGCAAGAGTGTAACGCGAGCATGATTGAAGGGCGTAGCCAAGGAAATCTGGCGTGCAAACATTGTTGAATTTCTGCAAAATTCCTGCTCAGTACCAAGGGTGATGCAGATGGGAGTCATTTCAGCCTCCACCCATCCTCTCAAGTTCTATTAAAAGCAATCAATCAAGGCCAGGGTAACCATATAGCAGAGGAAATGTGTTATGGCTACGAAAAAGATTCAGACTGTAATCACATATGGGGGGCTGCCTTGGGGAGAACGTGATGAAAACGAACCATCGAAGTGCCCTCCCCTGGCCGGCCCTTGACCCGAATATGAAGCAGACACATGCGTCGTGGTCCAGTAGGTACCCCAGATAAATCTGCTTTCCCTCTGCCTACATTTCTAAGGAAATAAAAGCCACAACATCCCAGGTCTGGGGACACGTGCGTCTTCAACTTTTTCATCTAAGGTATTTTCAATGACTCTTTCTAGAATGGATTCTCAAACCCCACTGCGAGCCCCACTATTGGAGGGTTATTTTTCCAAGTAGTGCAGTGCCCATATCTTGTACTGTGATGGATGCCAGCACGTTAGCATGAAAGTACCACACGGTGATCGCATTTGATATGAACATTAATGAAGTCATGGAAGGATGCACAGAACGCATTTTGAAGATAAGATTGGTATTTGGCAACCAAGAAATATAATTACTATTAAGTTATACATACCAGACATTTTTTTTGCTACTGTGAACCACAGTATCTTATTCAAAGTTTTTCTCACCCCATACGTTAAAACTATTAACATATTTTTTCTTTCTTACGGACTAGCTTCTAAGTTTCTAAAGGACATCCACTCTTCTTATCCATGCTTAGCCCCAGACCAATGCACTCACTAGCTGATGACAGGTTCTCCACTGATGTCTGTTGAATGAACAAAGACCAACCTTCCAGCCCAAACACCAACCCAAATACCCAGATGTAAACCTAATTTTGGATTAAAACGGACTTGAGACTTATATTCCGGTGGGAGATGCTTTTAATGCCTCCTACGGTATGTTCTGAGTGATTCAATTACATCAGCAAGCACACAGTTCCTCATTAGTGATGCTACACCCAGGATGATGAAAAGCCCAATATTGTGAGAGGTTGTGCTCATTATTTCAGGCTGTTCAGACAGCAGTAGCTAAGGCAACAAGAAACCCTCGAAGTAGCCACAGGCCAATGTCATCTGGATGGTTCGATCACACCCTTGGTGCAATATGCCACAGGAGGACCTCAGGGTCTCGAGCTCTGATGTGGACTTTTCAAGAAGCACAACCCAAGATGGAAAGAGTTGGCATGGACGGGGCATCAGGTGGGTCTCAGGGGCCAGGGTGCATCAAACAACCAGAAGAGTGTGGGGCTGTGGAGGTGGAGGCCTCCATCAGGGTCGTGCCCTGACATTCACAAGCGTTGGGATTTCAAAAAATCACTTAAGTCACCAAGCCTCAGTTTCCTCACCCATATAATGGGGGTAATAAAACCTGGCTCTTAAATTGCGCAGAAGATCTGGTACCACACATACCACAAGGAAAACTCATAACTTCGACCCACTTCCCGGATTCAAATGTTGGTCTTGGTAAAATTGCTCAATAGCGAGATGTTACTTGTATACATATGATGTGTGTGTGTGTGTGTGTGTGTGCGCGCGCGTGTGTGCATGTTCAGCCAAAGGTCAATAGGTTTCAAACGCCCTTTGGATACAGAAACAAAAAAAGTCTCAGGAAGAACAATAGATAAAATTGGTAAGAAATGAGACTCTGGCCTTCCTGGGCTCCCTGGGGGACAGTCTGACAATCACTGGGTCAGATGAGATCTTAAAGGAGCTGTTGCCTTGATGTTCTACAAACCCTCAGAATCTTCGGGGCCTCCCTGACCCAGCGGTAGGGGCTCAGGTTGATGACAGCACACGGCCACAACTCGGGGCGGTCTCAACCTCACCATCAAATGCTCGAAAGGGCATCTAACCTCACCAGCCAAGCCTGCTGGAGCGGATTGCGGTAGCGAGCCGATTCTGCCTCTTTCGACTCCCCCGGTCTTCCCTGACTTGGTCTCTTGCCACGCCTACGGCCCATGTGGCCAGACCCTTGCACGCCTTGTCTATTTTGCCTTTCTGTTAAGACTCTTGGAGGCAGTGGATTACCAGTCTTTTCGTGGAATCCTACACAAGGCTCTGCTGGCAGAGTGGACGTTGTGACCAGTGAAAGTCAGTACATGCGGGAGAAGACGGGCGACAGAACGATAGCTCGTGAACACTTCTTCTTTTTTTAATTTTTCAACATTTAGTTTTGAGAAAGACAGAGACAGCATGAGTGGGAGAGGGGAAGAGAGACAGAGAGAGAGAGAGAGAGAGAGACAGAATCCCAAGCAGGCTCCGCGCCCGATGCAGGGCTCAAACTCACGAAACCAGGAGCTCATGACCTGAGCCAAAACCAAGAGTCAGAGGCTTAACTGACTGAGCCACCCAGGTGCCCCTCACGAATACTCCTAAGCACAGCAAATATGTTTGAGGACCGTCTCAATTGTCTGAAATGATAACACAAGTTAAGCATTTAAGCCTGTGTTGTAGGCTAGGGATGCTCAGATCATGTAATACACCTTCAGCTGCACCTGCACACGCGTGCCAAGGATCTCACAGACTCTCTCGGTTTTGCAGATGGAAACCTAGGTAAGAGAAGACCGTGCGATGTACGCTGATCACTGCCAGGAGGTGGGAGAAGCCCAGTGGATCCGGAATCCCAGGCCCAGGGTCTTTCTCCTCAAATGGCACGACTTCCTTTGTACATGAGGATTTTCCAAATGGATTCATGCCATTCAGGTGACATATTCTCCAAACCATGTAGCTCAGCACTCAACGTGTCTGTGCCAGTTCTCGACACCTGCATCTAGCAAACCACACGTCCTATGCCAAGTGATTGAATCTAACCAGGAAACTCACTCTACGCCATGGATTAGGAGCAAACCCGACTCAATCGCACGTCCTAAAGGAGAACACACACCCTCACTTCTGGTTGCTGTGTCTGTCTCTCCCTTTCCAACACAAATCCAAACACAGGTTCTTGGCCATTTCTGTGTATAGAACAGATCCCTCGATATAATCCAGAACATGTCCTGAGAAGAAAATAACTGAACTTAGTAGGAAAAATGGGCTGGACAGTGACTGAGATCTTTCTTGGAGTTAGAGGTTAGACCATCTGGCCGAAAGGCATGGAAAACAGCACTCCTCCAACCTCAGCGATGTCCTCTGCGTATAAACAAACCTGAAGAAGTAAAAACAGGATGTTTTAAAAAGTCCTAAAAAAAGTGGGGGAGGGCCCGGGAGGCTCATTCGGCTCAGGTCATGATCTTACGGTCTATGGGTTCGAGCCCCACGTCTGGCTCTGTAATGACAGCTCAGAGCCTGGAGCCTACTTCAGGTTCTGTGTCTCCCTCTCTCTCTGCCTGTCCCCTGCTTGCACTCTCTCTCTCTCTCCCTCTCTCTCAAAAATAAATAAACATTTTTAAAAAGTCCTAACAGATATAAAACTGCTTTTTAGTTCTTAAGGTTACAGAACTCAAAAAATTGACTCTGCACGGAGCTCACTGCCCGGCGTGCTTTTTACGTTATGATGTTGGATCCACGTACCAAAGCTGTAATTCTTCTCCATGGAGTAATACTTAATAAAGAAATGAAGAAATGTGTACATTTTCAATTTAACGAAAATCCACGGAGTCAGATCACTGAGCCCTGCCGTGCCCTTTCCCATTTGATGTCGTCACCGCAGCAAATGACTCATCTGAGATACTCTTCGTTCGTCTATTTGCGCCTCCCTGAGTCATTCTGCCCATTCATCCGTTCACAGTGGCTGAACACGCAGCATCATCTATCTGCCACGCTGGCGCAGCGGAGACAGGAGTGTCCCCAGTGGTCTCCACGGTCGGAGCCGCATGTGAAATCGCTCTGCAGATTTCACAAAAAGTGTTACAAACAGCAGGTGCTACCATTACCACTACGTGATTGTTACCACTGTTCCTATCACTGTCCCTCATTTTGCCACTCAGCACACACAACTCCTCTGCACATCTCCTGGGTGTATTTCCTATTTCCTCAGTGTGATCAGAAGCCACTTCACCGGCCACACGAGAAGTTCAGAGCGCCCGCTTCCTGTCTCTTGCGTGACGTCCTCTAAATGTCCAGTGCTCCAGAAGGGGCTGACAGTTTCCTGGAGGTTAATTCTATTAGGAGCGGAACTCCCTTTCATCCAAGCCTACAGCCCATCTCCCTCCTCCCATCCAGAGTCCCACTTGCAATTAAAAAGCTTTTATCTTCTTTGGGAAAAAAAGTACTTTTTCCATCTTGACCCGGTGCTAGTGATGAAAGGCGGTATTAATTGACTCCTAAGGAAAAAAAAAAGGAAACGCTGATCCCTGCTGACACTGAAGATGAGTCTCAGACGGACCCAGTTTACCTTTTGTTAGACCCACCACCGGCATCTACGGGCATTGCCAGTGCACGTGCTTCGGCTGCTCATCTAATACTGAGCTGCTCAGCCCTCGCTGACTTAAATATTTCTTACCTGGATGGTTTAATTAAATTCAAGTATGGTTCAGGGGACAACAAGAGCCTCATTTCGTTAAAATAATGAGAGTTTTGAAGTTTTAACTCTAGCAGTCTATTAAAAACACAATTATGACCTAACTGAAAGGTTCATAAAATATAGGGGCAATTTTCCAGGTACTGAAAAAGTCAATCATTACCTATAATGGTGAAGGGATCAGAAGCAGGATATAAGCTTCATGTTCAGGTCATCAGTTTACATGGCCAAGTGTGCAGGGCTCTGTGGGGGTCCACTAAAGACAGGTGCATGCATTCACACGTGCGTGCGCGCACACACACACACACACACACACAGACGCTGTGGACAGGTCGAGAGGGCATGGCCTCTAATGGGATAGAGGGGTCAGTTTTACAACAACTGAATCACAAACACTGCCTTTTGCAGATCTTGTGATTTGCAAGTAAAATCAGGGTGAACGTAAAAAAAAAAAATAGAAAAATGACAATTCCTGGTTGTGCATTTTCTGGGAGAAAGTTCCGGGAGAGCCATCGTTCAGCAGAAAGACACCTGTGTTCCCACTGCCGGTGCTCACGCTAATGGGGGCAAGGGCAGGAAGTCAGCAGATGCAGCACATGGGCCTCGGTAAAGGAACAAAACCCTCACAGGGATGCCTTGACCTGAGGCAGTTTACAGAATCACTAGCCCAAGAAACCTTAGTTACGAATGACAGTTGCTGTAACTAACTGATGGGAATGTTCTGTTGTTCAGGAACAAATGTAAAATGTTCGTGCAGAAAGATGCCAGCTGTTGCTAAGTGCTGCCGTCCAGCAGCGGCGTCCGTCTGTCCAAGCCCCGGGCTCACCACTCACTCCGGACGCCGTCCCATTTCAAAACCAACAACGCTGGGCGTACGGGAATGTGGGCAGAGGGCCAGCTCCTACCAGGTCCGACGCCTGGTCCGAGCTGCCCTCCCCAAACTCTGCTTGGGGCACTGATCAACTAACATCTCTGCAAGTTACAAAAGGGATGGAAGGAGGCAAAACTCCAGGGTAACTAGTTGATAATACGAGGCCTTGTCACTATCACCCCCAATAGGAACCGACCGGGGAAGGAGAGCCGCGCACAGGACTCAAGTTCAGAACGGGACGGAGGAGAGGGGGCTGATACAAGTGTGTGCAATCGTACACGCACGTACGAGACGTAAAGAAGAGCAGAGAAAGGACGGCCGGAACGCGGGAATTTCCATGGCTTTTGACTGTGCACAGCCAGGCACCAAAACAGAAACATAACAAGTACCTAAGGGACAGCACGTCTCACCTGTCGGTGACATTCTCACCGGATATATGTGAGGCCCCTACAGACCTGACCCAACGATCAGTGTTTCTGTGGCAATTGTCCACTAGGGAAAACAGCCTGGGTTTCAGTCTCCCACACGGGTGCACTTACTTGTGTCCAGACTCATGGGCAATGGTGAAGGCCAGTCCAAGCCCTGTGTCTTCATTAATAGTACAGCTGCGGTATTTACTGCACATTCCACTGATGGGCGCAAATCCTGCGGGACACAGACATCAAAGGAATATACAGCAGCACTGTTGCAGTAAAATAAAGAGGGTGTATTGTATAGGTGTATGAGTCCTCTGTCCTTTCCAGAAGTGTGGTTTGCACCTGCGTGTGGTGAAATCTGGGACGCTCCTGGACAAGTGCATTAAGGGTTCTTTGCAACGCGAGCGGGAGGGATCTTCTCTCGGCATGGAAAACAATTCATGGCTCTAAGTGGTGTTCACATCACAGGTTATGATAATGGGGGCCAAGGAGAAAGGGGGATTCACTGCAGGTGAAGGAGAATTTCTACATTTGTCTATAAACATCTGTGTTCTAGAAAGCCCAAATAAAAAAGTGCCATATGGTGTAGGTGCATCGGGAGGTCCCCAAGACCAGCCCAGGTTCAAGGACTCGCCAGGGGGATTCACAGGACTCAGGCTTTGTCAAACTCACAGGTATAGTTTCATACGGATAGCAAAGGATGAGAACAAAATCATCCAAGAGAACAGGTGGATGGGGAGAGGTGTGGCAGAAACCAGGCACGAGCTGCCAGAGCCCTCTCCCGGTGGATCCACAGAGGACACACCTAATTCCCCCCAGCAACCTGTGGCTGTCTCATCAGAGACCAGGGCCCAGGGGTTTTATCCGGGGCTGATCACATAGCACCCCAGCCTGGCACATGGACCCAAACTCCGGACTCCTAGAAGGAAGGCAGACATGCCGTGTAAGCCCCGTTATCTGGACAAGCAGTGTAGACACAGCAGGCCAGCTCATCAAGCACGGTGATGGGAACCCTGGTTCTCAGAGGCCAGCCTTGTAAGCAGGCCTTTTCAGGAACGAGAAGTCACGATGAACCTCTTTCTGCTGAGTTCTATCTCAATAAGATCCCGGGAAGAAATGAAGAATTAGAAAGAAAAGACAGGAGTTCTTGAATCTGTAAGGGACTTTTCCTTAGGAAGTAATCACTTGGCGAATAAACATACACTTTGACGTGTGGCCAGAGTGCCTAGAGGGCAGCACATCTATTCTCTTCACTCGTGCTCAGTATGGCACCTACGTGTTCCTCCAGACTCCACAGGAGGGTCTTACCCAGGGTGTCGCAGGGCTCATTCTTCCAGGAACATATGTCCAGACCGGTCAGCAAGATGGCGTGGTCATGGCGCGTCCCGTCTTTGCCCATCAAGCCAGACTGCCACTGGCAGAAGCTGCTTAAGGTGTGGTCCGCGTGGTGGCTTATCACAAGCCCCGGCTGCGGGAGACAGACCAAGACCCCATGAGGAGAGAGAGAAAACGCCTTACAATGCACCTGTTACCCCTCCGCCATCACAGCGGCCTACCATTAACTCAGATTTCAAAGACACAGAGGGATCGGGATGGTCTCCAAGCTAATCCATCTGTTTCATGGATTAACATGCAAAGGTCGGTGGCTTGTATAAAACCTGCACGGAGGGGCGCCTGGGGGGGCTCCGTCGGTTGGGCATCCGACCTCGGCTCAGGTCATGATCTCGCGGTCTGTGAGTTCGAGCCCCGCGTCGGGCTCTGGGCTGACGGCTCAGAGCCTGGAGCCTGTTTCGGATTCTGTGTCTCCCTCTCTCTCTGACCCTCCCCTGCTCGTGCCCTGTCTCTCTCTCTGTCTCAAAAATAAATAAATGTTAAAAAAAAAAATTAAAAAAAAAACCTGCACGGATTCTGGACAGACGCTTCCGTTCCCTTCTGTAGTTCTGCACAGACCCCGCCGGGATGCACCTGAGCTGACCCTGAATGCATTTTCAATGCCCCAAGGAAGACTACTTTTGTGCATGAACGTCTGCATCAAAGTCTTTGTAAAACACCTTGTAAAATTATCTCAGGCAAGAGAATCATTTCTCTGCGACTCTGAACATGCACGGAAACACACCCAGACAGCTGATTTCACAACCAAGTTGGGCGAGTGGGATTTCCAACTGATAACTCACTCTTAGCCATTTATTATTACAGCGTTAAATCAAGTCACTTCCCTACCAAAGCAACATGCTTATGAGGAGGGTCCGGTCAATCGGTAAAGCGCTATTTCTAGAAGACAGACTGGAACTAGAAAGAAACTGGGCAGGATACATCCCACCTTATGCATATACACCACGTTCTCACAGAGCGACAGTGCAATATTAGAGTGAAGGCCACCCGAACGCTTGGGAAATTCAGAAATCAGGGTTGGGGGCAGGGGTGGAGCAGGAACCACCAGAGAAGGCTGCATGGAGTTATTTGAACTATTTACTGTGACGCTGTTTTTTTTCCTGTGGCTCGGTCACAGAAAGCCAGGTTAAACAGCTCGGTTCCAGGACAACTCGGGAGAAGCATTCATGACTAGATATTGGGTTAAATTCTGTGTCTCTCAGTCACTGAATAGGTTTTCTCCTTCCTTGCTTATTTTGTCTTTCCGGAGAGTCAAAGCCAGCTAAGCTAAATGCTGTGTGTGTCCCAGCACTGGGACATGCCTCACATTCTTCAGCCGCTGATTTCCAGGAACACTGCATGCATCAAAGTTAACACAGGTGTACGATCAAAAGATAACCTCGCTTATTCTTTGCAGCTTGGATGAAGTCCAAGGTGAAAACGATTTAATACAAGGAATAATTAACCTGTCACCCGAGACGCCCCGCCAGTTCTGCACCCCCTCCCCAGATGCTCACTCACACAAAGACAATGCAGTTGTATCTTTCTGACCATTCCGGCTAGAAACAGGTTTGCCCACGCAGGCCCCCCACTCTGCCCAGAACAGGAGAAATGCCCCAGAAGCTTACAGTCTGGAGGCATCTCAGGTCTTACGAATGGTCTTAGGTTTCATCTAAAAAAAATTCTTTGTTTTATAAATAAGAAAACTGGGGCTACCAGGAGACCCTGCTAAGATAGCAGCAAGGTGCAGGGCTTTCTCCTCCTAGGCGGAGTCCGTCATCAGCATGAAGCAAAGGAGAAGGGAGAGCCTTGGAAGGCTGAGACACCCCCATCAGCTGTGCCACAAAACGTTCATATGCAACGTCCCTGAGAACTGAAGGGCCCACCCGTGCATTTACACAGGGACTCTGGAACTCAGGCAAAGGAGAAGCTTTTACCCACTGTGACCAAGGTCCGGCATAATTTGGTGTTTGTATGCAATGAGAGAAATGCACTTGACATCCAGACTCTACGAAAATACAACCCTGTGGCCCAAGGCAGTGGGGGTGAGCGCGGTCAGTCTCAGGAGTTGGGAGGGGACAGAGTAAAACAACAATGCTGACAGTACTATCTCACTGCCAGGTGGGAGGGCGGTTTTGGTGTTCTAGCAACACGCAGAAAGGGCTCAGTCCCACCTGGGACCCTAAAAGCTCACGGTGGGGACGTGGCTGAAGACGCACTTTCCGCTGTCTCCCCAGTGTTTCCCACCCATATATTTAAGGCAGTTCTCCTGTTCTACTTTTCTAATAAGACTCCTAAAAATAGTCCTTACCACCTCTGCACTCACACACACACCCACGTGCACAGACACACACGTGCGCACGCACACAAAATTCAAATCATCATGAAGGGAACTGATAAGAAACTCCCTGCGTGAGACACAAAACATTAAACGCTTTTTGTTCCCGAGGGAAAGGAAAGTCAGGAATCCACAGAATGATCCCATTAAGGAAAACGGGGCATCGCTTTACATTCATTTTTCTGGGAGAAAAGAAGCTGGTTTCAAAGACAGAATACCTGGTCTTCCTCTAGAAGAATCAGACCTACAACTGCGATGTTGATGTTTCCTCCTATCGTTCCATCTTTGAACAAAGCAGACACCTGAAAAAGACAGGCATTCCCTGTCAGTCCCCACATGTGACGTTCCCCCAGCCCCCAGAGTCCTGCTGGTGAAGGCCGGTCCCTGTGGTCTTGTGACACAGTCACAGTCGAAGTCAAAGCTGACTTTCTTATACTGCTAGACAGGTATAGAAATCTCTCATGGCCAGGCAGACCAATCGTTAAATCTTTATCATTAGTGCCTGGTAGTAAGGGCTGAAGTTTGGGGAGGCAGGTTCTGCCTCTTATGGAACACCACTGAGGGTATTACAAGCCTCCGAGGTGATAAAAGCTCTCAGGTGGACACAACAGAGCGTTCTAGCGATGACGGCTGGGGCATGCGTTCCCCTTGCTTTCCCAGGGAGGGCCTCCGGAGGAGCTCCCAAGAGAAATGATTGGGAAGAGACCCAGAAGATCCAAGAAAGAGAAGGCCTAAGCGTGGAAAGAAGATGGCCGAGGAAAGGTGCCCACAAGGGGTATGACAACAGCAGACGTTGGTGGCTGTTCAGGGTGACGCGCGAGGGCCCCTCGAGCTGGCTCGGCACCGACGTGCAGAATACTGGAACGGCTCAACAGAACAGAAGCAACGTTGGCACAAACCAGAGCCCTGACGTCCTCAGCCCCTGGACGCGCAGTGGCAGGTGTCTTGATGCCACTGCCCCCTCCGTCCCTTGGGGGATGAGAAACCATGTGGGGCGGGTGGCCAGAAGGGATGCTAGCAGGAATACCCACGTGCTGAGCTGGAACAGAAGGCGTGTTTTCAAAACACTGTCATCCCCACTAATTTTCAAAACACACTCAGGCGACCCAAGATCTTGTCTTCCGTGAACCAGGTGTCACTGAGTCTACGCCACCCAAGTGGGGCTTAGATGCCTATGCCTCTCATCGCTGCTCCTCGTTACAACAAGCTGCCGATCTGGGACACGGGACTGTTTACCCGGGATGGCAGTCTACAGGGTTGGATGCTTTTCTGCCTCTAGATGACATAATGCATATTCAATACTTAAACACTAATGCTCCTAAGGAGATGGGCATTTCTATACCGGCATCTAAAATCACACGCAATGCTGACAGGCAGGTTTACTGCGCTGAACTGTCTCGGGGTCCTCGTACAGATTTCTGGTAAATGAAGACCTTGGTCCCCTCAAACCGTGCTGCCCGCTCGCAGAGAGGGCCAGTCTGTTCTCTGGAGTTCTGAACACGGCTCTTTGACGGGAGCATGTGAAGAGTGAAGGGGTCATCACAGATAAAACCCATCTCTTATGCCTGAGACACAGACCCACGCCCATTAGGTGGGATCACACACGACTTCGACAAGAAGGCGCTTCCTACCATGTTGAGTATCGTCAGCACGTAGGTGGTGATGTTCTCGTGGCCGTGCGTCTGCATCATCTTCCTGTCGACCACCACCAGCGTCTCCACATTCAGCTCCTCGTTCCTATGGGACTTGAGAAGAGAGCGCTTGTGCCTGGAGCAAGACGCATACTCGTCGGGCAAGACGAAAAGGTCTCCCTCGGGAGGCTGGGGCATGTCTACGGAGGGAATGTTCCGGGAAGAAACGAAAGCAAAAGTCGTCACCCCAAACCAGCGGTGGAACTGGGTATGCCCACCCTGGGTTTTCACAACGAAAGTTCACGACGTGAGCCACGTCACCCTTACGACTTTGTGACACAAAACCGGCATTAACGCGAAACTTGCATGAAAGTGAAGTTCATACAACCTAGGTGTGATCGAAACCATTGCTAGGTCTACCTCTCTATAATTTTGCCCCAACTTAAAAGAAAAAGAGAGGGCACCTTGGCTTTCACGTGCTCATCTCTAGAAGCACAATGTTCAAAGACCATTCGCGTAAAGATGTGTCAGACGGGCTCCGCACGAGACTTACGGACCACAAAGCGGAACGATGGCTACCACGCGGTGCCTTGCATCGTTGTCATATTTGAAAAATGTTAATGGCCTCTTTTTAAAGGACATTCCCAAGTCTGGACGCGTCACTGGTCTATCTGTCGTGTTTCAAATGGGTTTACGAACTTGGTGACACAGATCTACTCCACTGCAGAGCCGAATTTCCTAGAAAGCACTATAAATATTTACCTCGCTTAATTACAAGACAAAATACACTCTGTCCCTTTGGCACCGTTTAAAAATCGTCTGGGCATTTACAATCAGGGAGCTAACACTATGTTAAAAATGAGTCAGCTTTGTGGACGCCCCAGAAAATGTGGTTAGAGTCGTTTCATGTGAAAGTGGACTTCAAAACACCCACATGTATGGGTGGCACTAATTCAAAGCCATGCCAACTCTGTTCATGGACCGCACCGCCAGAAGACGCCATTTTTTTTTGGCTGGTACCCACATCTGGCGCATATTTTCTCTGTGCTAAGATACTTTCAAACCTAAATCAACCCTGTGGAAGCTAATAATGATTCTGGCAAAGTTCTTAAAGCACCAATCGCATGCCACCGACACTGATGCAATTAGAGAGGCCTGACTCCACCCTCAGAGCTCTCTCTACTGGCGTAGAGATAGGCTCCGGGTAGGGATGGGCCACCGAGGCACAGGGGAGGCACGGAGCAACCTGCTCGCAGCCCCTCCCTACGAAGTGTCAGAAACGGGGTGTCCCGTCTGGCAGCATGGTCCCAGAGCACAAGGTTAATCCTCACCATTGATTTTAAGCAAATCAACCTGCCTGTGACTGCCATTTCCCACAGGTGCCTAAACGCGCACCAAAAAAAATTCCCATTTTCTGAGCCGGAGACTCTAATGGGAAAAATCTTCATTAAACGTGAACCCCACTGAGCCAGAAGGCTGGGACTCCTCCAAGCACATCCAGAGCCCCACGAGCAACACGGAAAGATCCAGGCGCAGACAGCGGAGGTCCCGAGAATTAAATGCTTCAGCCCGGAAGCCGCGCGTGTCACCTGTGCCCGCCCGCCACTCGGCCACCAAGCGCTCACCGAACTGCCATGCGCCCAGCAGGGAAGGGATGGAAATATCTGGCAAACCGAACTGCACCACAAGGGTCACTAGTGTCTTCTAAGAGGCATTTTGTGGCACTCTGCGTCTCTAGTTCTGTTACGAAAACCAAGAGCCACTTTCCCCTCCCATTTTTCAGATAAAAAACTTCTTGTGCAGTGTTTCCAAACGACTGACTGCCCTGTCCCAATCACCCCCCGCCCCCGAGATTCTGAAGAGCCCGTCCAGGCAGCACACAGGTGCACACGCATACACACACACGCACACAGGCACAGCCACGGCAAACAGGATGACTTCACTGTGTGCCGAGCTGTGCCCTAGGCATCACTGGCCTGCACGGCTCTGATGACCCCCGTTCATTTCAGCAGGGTCCACACCGCTGGATTTTCTCAGGGCCCACTACAACATCGGTTCTGAACCCTAGTGTGGCCCGTCGAAGAGGAAAGGACAGCCCTGCCAGGATCCAGGCGCTTGGCTTTTTGTCCCTGACACGGGATCCGTCCCGGACCGAGCCCTGCCGGCACGAATTCTGGCTCTGACCTTGTCCGTGCCTGAGGCCCGCCTCTTGGTCCCGACCCTGCCCGGTCCCATCCCCTGCCACCTTCCCCCCCTGCTTCTCCCTGTCTACGCAGCCAGAGCAGCTGATGCTGACAAGTGCGTCCTGTTCTGACACCACTCAACCTCAGTCTCCCCGACTTCCTCAGACTCTGTTCACCTCTCGCCGTCCCCAGACCCACTCTTCCTGCGGACCGAGCCCACCGACTTAGGCGATTTGGACTTGAGTTTCTCACTTGAACATAGCATCAGGCTTTTCTTCACGGGATAATAGGGGTCCAGATGATACACAGGTGCTGACAGTTTAATGGTACTTTCTGTGCCGCTGTAAGAACCAAGTGATTTGGGGCCATCTACTCTATTCCACCTGCAGCGCGACCTTCTCTGTTTTAGGGTGCCGGGCACAGCAGCCAAAGAAACCGGCAGGGGAAGGCGGGCTTCGCAGAGCCCCACTGGGGGCAGGTTTAACAAAGTGGTGCTGGAGGGGAAGGTGAGGGAAGCCAGGACAATTCCAGAGAACACTGAATTGCGAGAGGCTCCCACGTGAAGTGCAAATGTCACATCACCTCTGAGGCGTTCACCACACAACAAAGGATTCCACAAAGCACTGGTGATAAACGACAGCTAAATTACGGCACGTTGAGCCTGTCCCTTTGATGCGGTGGCGTAAAATATATAAACATGTACGGAGATAAATTACCTCGCAGAAAACTATGTGGGCTCTCATAAATCTAGACCTCCAAACCACAGAATTACTGAGCAGACATGCCGGGGTCCCTTTGAAGACTTCCAGTGGATTCTGCATTTCTGGGCGGTACGTCATCTCACCTGCCCAGGGAACAGGTCTGGGGAACAAAAACACCCACCGCTATCTGTCCGTCCCCCACAAGGGGCGTTTGCAAACGGAACACACAGACGATGGAACCAACAGGTAAGTCCGGCGAGGACCGCCCACTGATTCCACCTCGCGGCCGGATGACTTGCAAGAACATTTGAACATTTCGTGGGCGCACGTAAATGCCCGAAAGGTTAAACGCACGCAAAGAATCGCCCTTACATACATTTCTTGCGTCTGCCACAGAAATGCCGCTTTTGCGGGTGCTGGAGGGTCGAGCCGCCGTGAAGGTGCGGGGTCCCCAGCTCCCGATCCCTCTGGGTCACGACCGCCTGGGGAGCCCCCGGAGCCCGCTCGTCTGCGGATCTCTTGTACAGTATGTGGGAGGGGGGCCCAGCCCCGGCGGCGTCCCCGGGTGTCCCCGCCAGCTGGGAAGGAAGCGGCTTCAGGAAGTAATCGGCTTCTTGTGTTCTTATCATGCCCGACTGGAAACAGAGAGGAAGAAAGAAAGGGCGGTTACACCTCCTGACCAGACAACGTCCAGGATGCCAGCATCACTTCTGTCTCATTCCTTCCCAAGCACCTGTTCCTCCCCCGTGGCTGAGGACGAGGACGGGAAAGACCCTGAACTCTTCCCATCTGCATCCTCTACAAGCTCCACGACGTGACTCCAGGAACACAGGGGGCTCCCAGCGCACGAACGGGGGTTCCTTTAACCCAGATCACGGAGGAGAGAGCTCACGTGCACAACACAGACTCAGATGTGAGTGTGGGTGCTGGAGGGGGAGGGTCCCACACAAGAAGATCAAATTGCAAGCCTAACAGTCATTTGCAGAACTCCTTTCAAACTTGACCGTGGTGTAACACTGGGTGTGGAAGCGTGCAACTTAAAATTAATCCAGAAGAGGGGCACCTGGGAGGCTCAGCCGGTTAAGCATCGGACATCAGCTCAGGTCATGATCTCACAGTTCATGGGTTCGAACCCCGCATCGGGCTCTGTGCTGACGGCTCGGAGCCTGGATCCTGCTTCGGATTCTGGGTCTCCCTCTCTCTCTCCCCCTCCCCCACTCATGCCTTCTTTCTGTCTCTCAAATAAACATAAAGAATTTTTTTTTTAATTAATCCAGAGGAAAGCACAAAACAATTTACTTAGGGTAGCAGGAAGGCCTTTCTAAGCAAGGTATTATGGAAATAGGAAAAATCTAACTCAAAAAACACTAAGAGACATCTGTAGAGCAAAAGTAGTGTTCAAAAACACTAAAAGTATTCTAAAGGAGGCAAAATTGAGGGACTGCTTTTTACCTTTTAGAGTGACAAATATTTTTAAAAAAATTTTTAATGTTTTTATTTATTTTTGAAGGAGGGAGAGAGACAGAACATAAGCAGGGGAGGGGCAGAGAGAGAGAGAGGGAAGCACAGAATCTGAAGCAAGCTCCAGGGTCCGAGCTGTCAGCACAGAGCCCGATGCGGGGCTTGAAATCACAAACAGTGAGATCAGACCTGAGCCGAAGTCGGACGCTTAACCGACTGAGCCACCCAGGTGCCCCTAGAGTGACAGATATTTTTAAAACCTGATAGTAACAAGTGCTGGAGAATCCATGGGAAAGTGTAGTTCTGGAAAAGTGGTCACTGGGGCAGAGCCGGGAGGCGGCTGCCATGGTTTCCTGCCACGTCCACCAGCACTTAAAATGTGCCATCAGGTCTAAGGAGTTAGCCTTTTGGAATTCTTCCCAATGCTTCGTATAGGCACCGCCCCAACACGGACCAATATATATGATTGTGTAAGTGCAGCATTGTGTGTAAGAGCACAAAACAGAAAATAATAAAAATAAATCATTTAAAAGCTTACCAATTAATTCAGGGTAATGTTTTTATCTTTTATTTTTTTTTAATTTTTTTAATTTTTTTAAATTTTTTTTAAATTTTTTTAACATTTATTATTTTTGAGACAGAGGGAGACAGAGCATGAACAGGGGAGGAGCAGAAAGAGAGGGAGACACAGAATCGGAAACAGGCTCCAGGCTCTGAGCTGTCAGCACAGAGCCCGACGTGGGGCTCGAACTCACGGACCCGTCAGATCATGACCTGAGCCGAAGTCGGACGCTTAACCGACCAAACCACCTAGGCGCCCCTCAGGGTAATGGTTTTAAAGTATATTTGTATATTTGAAGAGAACAGAAGATTAAAAAAAGATCAGATAATTATGTGCTGATGATAATCATAATTATTATACGTAATTAAACATTTTTTTCTCAAGTTCCTGAGACCGTGGATAACATCTTCTGTATAATACCTTATTGAAATTTTTTTAAGTTTACTTATTTATTTTGAGAGAGAGAGAGTGAGTGCACAAAAGCCGGGGAGGGACAGAGGGAGAAGGAGGGAGAGAATCCGAAGCAGGCTCCACGCTATCAGCACAGAGCCCAATGTGGGGCTCGATCCCATGAACCGTGAGATCATGACCTGAGCCGAAATCAAGAGTCGAACACTTAAAGGACTGAGCCACTCAGGCGCCCTTATGATGCCTTATTTACATCACTGACTGCAATTCTGTTTTAGGGGTATCGTATTACTCTCTTCTCAAGGGTGAGGACAGAGAACTACAGTGGTTCACTTCTGTTTCCAAGGCAACCCGGCTAGGAAATAGAGTTGGGATTTGAGCAAAATCAGTCAGTTCAGAACCTGCGCTTTGACGGTTTATACTTCGAGGGTTTCCAAAAAGGGTTAAATTTATACAGTGTATAATAGATGCTGCGATCCCAAGCATGTCCATTTTAAAAAGCATGGTCTGCACGTAGAGAACCTCCCTGGAAGAAGTGAGAGCCATCGCGGGTGGCCGTGGGCGGCTGTCTTTGGGGAGAAGACTGCAGGAGGGACCCTGCTTGCATCTTCGTACCTTTCTGCACCACTCAAGTTTTTAGAATCCGTGTGTTTTCTTACATAAGTAATGTCAGTGGCACTGCTGAATTATGGGGTTAGAGACAATTTTTTGCACCCCTTATAAATGTTATTCAATTTCGCCCTGATTTGAGAAGACGATGAATTGTCTCTGCAGAACTGTCCAACTGTCACTTAGAACTCTCTGATGCTAAACCACCAGCCTTACAATCGGGCTGATTTTTCCCAAAGTCACTTTGATAATTTCCTACACCGAGCTGGACGCTGATTAGGTACTCAAAGAGGTTGATGCATGCGTCCCTGTTCTCAGTGTGCCTCTGATTTAGGAGCCCGAGGCTGAATCTCCTTTAGGGGGGTTGCTGTGTGAGCCTGGAAGTCTGCAGACTGTGGGATGACAGGCGGGGGTGGGGGGCAGGAGCACTTCTTAGATCTTGGGTAAAGGGACAGACGGGACTCTAGGGAACAGTAGGGTTGGGGGTGGGAGAGAAAAACGAAAGGGGAGACCAGCTGATTGGACATTCAGAGATTAAGCGTTGGCCCTAGAGTCCCTGCTGGTGGGGGAGAGGGTACACTGGGTGAATTATCAAGGAAGCCATCAGCACCGTAGGGGGTAGACCCCCGGGTCCAGGTACCACCTGGCAGTGGAAAGGTAAAATGCCTGGAATTTTTGTCCTGCATCACAAGGGGGAGGCAGCTCTCCCGCAGGGCTCTCTGGGAATGACCTGGGAATCTGTGTGTCCTCTAGACCTCCACCTGCTGAAGTTCACAGTTCTATCAAGGAATAGACAAATGTGGAACTGCAGAACAGCCAAGGCCTGCGGGCTTACATCGCGTTTGCATTTAAATTAAACCCTGACCAGCAGGAGGAATCGGCATGTGCTCAACACGACCCAACGGTTCTTCCACACTTTAGAAGGTAACCAGTTCATGTATTAAACTTAAAAAAAAAAAAAAAAAAAGAATGCAGTTTTCATCTTAAAGAAACCTTCTCTGATATGTGAACTCCTCCTTGTCTTTCTAATCACCCCTCAGAGACCATCAGCTCCTGGAGAATGCGCAGTAGGTGTCCCTGGAGCCCCAGCTGAGTGCCACACCCTGGCATTCACCATCCATGGCAATAATGCGACCTGTGTGACTTCCGATGGTTTACTCAGCCTCTCTGTGCTGCATTGTCGTCTAGGAAGTGGGGATCGGGCTAGCTGCCTGCCAGGACTTCGTAGCTCACCAATTAATCTCTTTTAAACACATGACGCACAGAAAAGATGCAAAAAAAAGATGTGCTGAGTTAATGAAGCAAAGAATGTAAAATACGCTACACCTCTGATGCTAATTCTTTTCTGATGACTCAGGGGGTTCTCTGGGGGGATTTTCACCGTACAGCATGAGACACCCCCCCCCGATACCCAAATGCCCCTGCACCCCAACTCCACCATGGCCCCAAACACATCTGTGCTCTGGCCTGCTGTCTTGCTTTTTATTCTTCTGGCTTCCGCATCTAAACCCTGTGTTCTCTGACAGCTGTTCGGGCTCAAAAACCACTCCTGCTCCCCCTGCTCGCCCAGTTCAAGACGCTGCTTGGGTGCCCGAGGCTGAGAGCACCAGATCCTTGGGCAGCGGTGACCTCCTGCAGCCGGAGGGTCTTCTTAACTTTCATTAGCAAAGTAGTCAGCCCCAGTTTCGTTAAATACAGAGAATATGAGGGCTGATAAGGCCGATGTTTTGATGTCCCTGATAATCCACAGACGCTGAAACGCACAGAAAAACCAATCCCTTTGTCTTGCTTCAGCATTAGTTTGCAAGCTTACCAAAGAGGTTAGATAAGCCATGGAAGATGAATGTTTTCTTGCGAAAGCTGTTCTTTATTGACCCAAGGATATTCATTTGGAAACTCATCAGATGTCTATGGTACACCTGCCCAGAGTAACCACCGGGACGTCAGCTGGGTGGATTATGAACCAAGCTTTCAGAAAGAGGCCAGTGGGCTCCATGCTGTGCCAAGGAGCTCTCCCGGGGCCCGTCTCTCTCCTGGCCAGCTCCGTAAATCCTTTTATGCTGGGAAGTTCATCTAACACTCACACTGCACTTGCACAAACAGAAAGAGCATGTGCTCTGTTGGTACTCAGAAAATGCTGTTTCTCACTCAGCACTGTCTGTGAAGGAAACGCTGAAGTTCCAAAGTCAGATATGGTGTGAGGGTCGCTTTTTTAACTTTTTTAATAATTTGTTTTTGATAGAGAGAGACAGAGTGCAAGTGGAGGAGGGGCAGAGAGCGACAAGAGACAGAATCCGGAGCAGGCTCCAGGCTGTCAGCACAGAGCCCGACGCCGGGCTCGAACTCACGGACCGGGAGATCCTGACCTGAGCCGAAGTCAGATGCTTAACCGACTGAGCCACCCGGGCGCCCCTGTGTGAGTCCGTTGTATCCACAACTGAAACTTGTTGGATCTCTGCAGACAAATAAATTAAACAGAATACGCATCCATAATTACATGAAAACATAGCTGACATTAGAGGAAGTTTTTCAGAGAGTAGGAAGAAAGGGAATCATTCAATAAACAATCTTGAGAAAACTGGTCAGCTCTTTGGA